CGTGGCGGAGGGGGGGGGTGTTTAATGGAAGTTGCTGGCGGGAGCCGGGCGTCCCACCTCCCTGCACGGCATCTCTTGCCGTCACAGCCCTTTTCAAAACGGAGAAGCGTTAAAAGCCATCCAGCCTCTTCGCCGACAGGACAGACCTTGAAACGCCTCTCGGGTTATTTACCTGTTGGCAATCTCTCTTGAAATCCACGCCGTCCCCAGACCTTTTGCCCCATGCCTGCTGCTGACAGTTCATTAAAGCCTTTCTGGCATGCTCTGACTGCACAAAGACTTAAAACTGCTCTCAAGTACGTACCAAGCCCAGCCCCATTAGAAACCATTCCTCAAACGCAGGTCTACAAAGACGCCTGGAAGTTCAGGTCTTCAGGGTCCAGGACAGCATCCTTTTTCTCCTTGCTCTCCCGCTGCACGTGGTACCGCCGTTCGGCAAACCGCACTGCATCGTGGACGCTGTGGAAAGCCAGCTGACCACCGCTGTCTGCCCCACCAGCCCAGCCTCCCTCCCGGAGCCGGTGGCGGATGGAAGGGTTGCAGTTGGCCAGGAGCACCTGGACGCCAATCTCCTTGTAGTCATGACGTATCTCCTTTAGCACAGAGAGACCCACAGTATCTATGAACTGCATTGCCCCACACTCAAGGATTAAGGTGTGCGTATCTATGGAGGGAGGACAGGCATCTGCTGGAGGCTTCTCAGTCCTTTGCTTGGCAGGTTTCAGGCAGTCAAGCCTGGTGCCGAAAAAGGTCTTGCTGTTGCCTGCATCTGTATTTGCCTGGGCCTTCCCCCTTTGGTGCTTAGCAGCCAGCAGGATAGGATTTACCCCAGTTTTCTGGTAGAGAACTGTCTTGAAATAGTCCTTGTTGGCATAGTAGAGAGATGACTCGAAGCGGAAGATTTTGATGTTGGCAATACTGCCGAGCTGCTTGTAAGTGGACTGGTCCTCATAGATTTCTGTGTTGCTGACCTTGCCCAGGAGCGTGGCCCTGGGTCTCTGTGTGCGGAAGATGATGCAGAGCAGAGCGAAGCAGACGCCCACAAGGAGCCCAATCTCTGTGGTGATCAGTGTGGAGGACAGCATGGTTGTCCACCACACCACCGTGTCCAGCTTGCTGAGCTGCCACATGCGGGGGATATCATGGAACTTCCTCAGGCCCCCCCGCAGGTTGACAATGGTGACCACCCCCAGGATGGAGGTCTGCAGCGAGTAGAAGAGTGGGGCGATCCACAGCAGCACTAGCAGCAGCACCAGGGAGGTGACCAGGCCAGACACCTGGGTCTGGGTCCCCGTGGACTCCTTCAGCAGAGTCTTGGTCAGGGCTGCAGAGCTGGCAAAGCAGTAGAAGAAAGAGGGGATCAGGTTGCACATGCCAATGGCAATCATCTCTTGGTTGGCACGGACAGCGTAGCCGTGCTTTTTGCCAAAGATTTCCGCCAGGGAGACAGTCATTGCAAAACCAATAACAGCAATGGGCAGAGCATCAACTGCCAGGCTGGAAAACAGGTTTATATCTGGTAGAGTGGGTTTCCTGAAACCAGTGGGGATATCCCCACAAACAGCAGACTTGTATCGCTCTTCGAAGTTAAAGTAGTAAGATATTACTGTGGCTACAATGACCACCAGCAGCTCTATGGGGAATGGGGCCTTCATCTTCTCCTTATACCGGTCATTGATCTCTTTGACAGGCACTATGACAGCCAAAGCAACCAGGCTGGTGACCAGGTCACAGATGTTGGTGTTCTGGATGTATCTGAAAAGGTCAACCCACGTCAGGAGGAAGGACCCCACCCCTTCGTGACGAGGTATTTTCAGTCCCAGGAGATACTTCATCTGGGAGGTGATAATGGTGAGGCTGGAGCCGGTCACAAAGCCACTGAGCAGAGGTTCTGACAGGTAGACAGCCACGAAACCCAGCTGTAAAACCCCCAGCAGGATCTGAAAAGCAAGCCAGCGATACCTTTAGCATTGATGAGAAGGGCTGGGAGAGGTGGCTGGCAACTTATGTCAGTTTGCTTCCACTTTAGCAGCTCTGGCTATTCTGTCTGCTGAGCATTCAGTGCGAGGCAGAGGAATTTGTTTTCAGTAGTAAATCTAGGATATGGAAAACTAAAGAGACCTGCCTGTAAGACTCATCTGTGGCTAGAGATGCCATACAAAGAAGCCTATATGGTCCCTGCTTCTGTCTCCTTACAAGCAATAAGGGTGCATAGCTAACACTGAAATTCCAGGCAGCAGCCACATCAAAGCAGCTGTTCACTTTGATGGCACAAAACCCATGCGATCCACTGAATTTTAGTTGTCCCAGTGAAAGAGCCTGAAATTGTTCAGTGACAGCTAAGCCTAGGCAGTGGGGACATTGCCAGGGAGCGTGGCCTTAGAAAGAGTCCCTGCTGATGGCAGGGTCCTTGAAGACTGCTCTTGCCAGCCCCAAACCTGCTCTAACCTGCACCAGGAGCCAGACCAGCTCCAGGACTGGTGTGGTGGGAAGGTGGCTCACAGTTCCCTCTCCTCCCCTGCTGTGTCTAATCCTAAAGGATGTTTCAGACACATCCAAGGACACGGCCTATCACACGGCGGGGAAGAAAACCCCACATTCAGCCATGTTTGGGGGTTTCTAAATCACTACATTTGATTCAAGGGTGTCGAAGACTACTCACGTCGGGAAAGGTTTCTCATGACTTGCAGGTCTGAACCAAGACTGCAGCAGAGAGTTCTTTAGCTCAGAGAAGTCCCTAGCAGGGAAAGGATGGAGAGGAAACAGCACGACAGCGAACATTTGTACCTGGTAAAGGCCAACCAGAAAGCTTAAGGAAAGGGCCACAGTGATGGCATAGCAGCTCCTGTCACAGGCTCCTGTCCCGTTACTGAAGGAGGTGGAGTTGCCCACCAGTGAAGAGGCAGAGTTGTCGCCGCTGTACCCTGCTAGCTGGAGGTGCCGGTTCACAGACTGCCCAATCATCAGACAGAGGATGCCGAAGGAGCCCACGAAGTTATGGCGTGACGTGGCCATAGCAACGTAGATGATATTGCAGAAGAAGTTGGTGTAGATTCCGTAGATGGGATCCTGGCTGGCTAAGAGGGAGTAGGAGATGGACTGAGGGATGGCAACTATCCCCACCAGGAGCCCAGATACGACGTCCCCAAGCAACTGCGCCTTGATGTTGTAACGGGGAAGCCAGTCCAGCACTGGGAACAGCTGACAGAAGAAGGTGATGATGGTTTGATGATTGCATGTGCAGACCTCTCTGGCTTTCTTTAGGACGAGATCCTTGGTGCTGAAGTCTGCGGGCTCATACTCCTCCAATTTGACATGTACAAAATTGGCAGGACTCTCTTCTGGTGTTAGGGAGCTCAGCACCTCTTTGCTCTGTCCTGACTTCTGGCTTGACGTGTCCTCCATTGCACCCGGAGAGCTAAGGCGGGAGAGCAGGCAGCCATGAGGTGTTGCAGTCACATCATGTGCTTTGCTTAGCTCCAGGGCTCATGCAGATTGCATGGATAAATAAATAAAGGAAAATAATCTCAGACAAATCAAACAGAAAAGCACCTTCCCGTGGTGCCGGTTGATTTGTTTTCAGTTATGGACCTGATTAACCACAACCCTGAGACCACGGTTTAAATTGCATTCACACTGGCACAGATGCCCACATCAGGGACAGAGCTACAGAGAGCCCTGTGCTCCTTCCTAACATACCTCTTGTTTTGAAACAGGACAGCAGAATGGGTTAAGATCAGACAATACTATTTCACTGAAACTAATGTTTCTTGATGACACTTCCACTTAAGCAACAACTATTTTGAAAACCTTGAGATATTCCAAGTGATGCCTTAGGAACCTAACACATGGCTAAGGGAGGTAATTTGCAAAATAATCTTTCCTTTAACATTTCAAAATTTTAAATTACATTGTTGGCTTGCATCAAACAGGTCCATGACAGGGGGTCCTATCTGCAGAATGAAAGCATCCTACTTTTTCAGTCTGATTAAGTAACATACATATTTTCCAGAGCTACTCCAAGTTTTTCAGTCAAAATGCAGCTGTAACAAACACACCTTTTTGTCAAAACTGAACAGTACACACAGAAAAAAATTCTCCTGACGGGAGACCTAGAGTGGCTGCATTCAGAAAATGAACTGGGATGATGAGAAATCCCATTCCCCTGCCCTACAGGTTCATTTCACATCACTAGTCCCAATCCAAATCTCTTACTTCTGGCTGCAAGGAGATACACTGGGTGTTTTCTCACTACCTGGAGCTTCTCCCCTGTGGACAGACCTGTCTCCTCACCTCGCAGCACACCCTGAACAGAGAAAGCACAAGGCTAACAACTGCAAACCTGTTTCCTTTGCCTTCCTTCTGGACCATGTGCCGCTTCCCTTGAGGAGAGATCTGAGCTACTCAGCCAAGCGATCGGCCCTTTTATCTCACTCCAGCCGACGAAGACGGTGCAGCCAGCCAAACAGAGCTGTATTTTGAAAACAAACACTGTTCTGGGAGAGTATTTTTGATCAAAACTTGTTCTGGCCATTAAGAATGATTGAAGGGATTTAGAGAAGTGGTCCTGCCAGGTAACAGTATTGCTGGTATCTGGAGATGTGTTTGCTAAACAAGGGGAACAATGCGAAGAAATCTTCCTGCGTGTGCTATTGCTCTGCCGCTCCCTGAACTGAGAGCGCATCATTGCCTGAGTCCTGCCGAGCTTCTCCACTCAGGTTTTCATCTATTCTGGAAAGCTTTCATTCCAAAAAAACAATCAAAAAGCAAAACTTGTTCCAGAATGACTTTTCTTTCCTGGTAGCTTTTCCACCAGCGTGCTGCCACCAGCCCCCTGTGCTCTGCTCAGCCGCCTGCCCGGCTGCTCCCCGCGGACCTCCACCTCTGCTCGGCCCCACTGCTCTCACCCGCTTCCACGGAGCCAGCGGCGCTGGGCTTCACGGGGACTTTGTACACACAGGTCTGCGCTGACAGCAAAGGTGTGGTGACACAGGTTGTTTCTAGGTAGATAGAAGAACTCGATGTGCGTCAAATCTGCACAACTCACGCTTTGCACGTGCCTTTTGGAGACTGTAGCACAAATAACAAGGGATTTTGCTTTGCAGAAGTAAGCACAATTTGGCAAAAAGCGCAGGGTTGCATTTCTTTTGTAGGTAAAGGTGAACAATTGCATTAGTGGGCAGGAAAAATGTCTCATCATCCTGAATTGAAACAGCAGCCTCATAAATACCAGCTGCAACTTTTCTGCCCTCGTGATCCATGCCAACAACCTACACCAGACCTCTCAGCACACACTCCCAGCTGCCAGTCTCACCTTATTCTCCTCTCCTTTTCCATCTCTTTTCCATCGATCTAGTCTCTGAGATTTTGCTGGATGTGCCGTTGCCCCGTGGAGCAGGACAAACTCCTGGCAGTCAGGAAGCTTGGCCTCTGCTCCTGGCACTGACTGTGTTCTGGGCTTGGGAAGGGGGCTGAGAGCCCACAGCGTTTGGAGAGATGGTGTGAGGTATGGAGAGATGATTTAGATGCTAGGGAGACACCCTGAGAGAAGAGAACGGGAAGATGAGCATCCTGAGCTACATTTATCTCATCAGTGGAAGTCTGTATCTCAGCAATTAGAAGTAAATAAATAAGAAACATCAGTGCTCTCTGGCAGCAGGAAAAAATGAGAGCACATGGCAGCGGAGACAGCTGCTCAATGTATTTATCTATTTATATAAATTCTTTATTCTCTGCCATTTCTCCACAGCTCATTTATTTTCAGGTACATCTGTTGATAGCTCCCCTTTCCCTTTCCCTTCTTTCAGTAATGGACCGTATCTCTCCTTAGCCTTGTCATTCCTCCTGTCCTTAAAAGATGAACCCTTCATATGCTTTATAATCCTTCCTAGTCAAAACTCATCTTGTGTCTTGGCCTGTCTGATGTTGTCTCTACTCACTCATTTTCCTTTTCCATCTTCTTCTTCAGCAAATGACCCAAATTTCCATTTTCTGTATGATTCCTTCACCTTGAAATTCAGTCACTGAAGAACTGGTGACTCAGTCATTGAAAAGCTGGCCAGGCTGGTCTTTTAAGTCAGCTTGTTTGCTGGGATGAAACACATCTGAGTACAATCCATTTTTGGGTTTTGATCTTATTTAGGAAGCATTCATTTCCAGTTCTGGATCCCTGATCTGTCCACCATGAAAATGGGACAAAGCACTTTTCCCATTTGTGACAGTACCTAGGCTACCTTTAACTTCCACCCTGCCTTCACCACCTGCTGCTGCTTTTCCTTCCAACTTCCATCTTCACTTATATATTCTGGAACTCTTTTGTTTGTTATTATTTCCTTTACTAACTGATGTAGTTTGGTAAGCCTTGATACAGCCATGCTTTTCCACCTCTCCCAAGCATAAGTTTTGGTGAGCAGTTCTTTTTTCCATTTCTTCTGTCTCCATGCCTCCCCTGCCATCCTTTGTAAATGTGACTATCCTTTCAATTAAGTCTGAAGCCTTCCCTACAATTTTTCCCCCTTTCTTGTGTGCAAATTCCAGTTGCTTTTGTATACTCAACTTAAAAATCTTCCATACTTCCCTGGAATTATGTTCTCGAGCTCCTTGTCCCAGCTGGCTTCCCTGTGCATTCAGTTCTCTGTGCTGACCTCTTTGAAACAGCAAACCTTCATGCTATGGCAGCTTCCACATGGTCCTTTCTGTGCTGGAAATTCACTCTGTAGACACTGAGGACAGGCAATTTTATGTTCTCCATCCTGGCAGAGAGGAGGTAAGAACATACTTGGTGACACTGAACACTGCGTACGTCTCTGAAATTACTGTTACTGTATGAGGTGAGGCAAGGGCAGAAACTGCAAACATTTCACATTTGCTCTAGAGAATGTATAGCACACAGCTTAAAAAAAGAAACCCACAACAGAACCTCATGTGACCTTGAGCTGGCTAAGGCTGCACTGCCTTCCAAATGCAAGGTCACTACAGCAAACTGCTGAAACTCTTTGTTTTCAAATGCCTCTTCAAGGGTTGTTCTTTATTGCCACTATAAACTCACTTAACTGTTTAGCTCCATTCTGGGCAAGGCTGGATTGGACAGACGGTATTATCTCAAACGACGCAAGTGTAGACAGGATGTTGCCTGCCAGTAATGTGGCACCCTCTGTTTTTAAGACAAGCGGAAAGCATGAAATCCAAATTTTTCATTTATGGCATAGCATGTGAGCAATGTAACATCCATCTATGCAACAGCCATTGCAGCCAGCTAGAAACAGAGCAGTGGAAACCCAAGCTCCAGGTACAAGGAAAATGTAGTAGCGGGCTATTTTGGTTTTCTATCCTAAGTAGAAAAAAATTTATGAACTTGTCTGTGTCCATGATTGTTACCCAGGCATTTTGCAATGGGTAAGTGTAGCGAATTCAAGTCTCTGCTGCTGTGTCAGTGCATCACCTGTGTTTAACAGGATGACCTGGCATCTCCAGTTTTCTTTGGAACAGCGCTAACTGCACTGTACAAGGATTTTTGACTTGCCTTAAGGCTTGTAAATACACTTATGACTACTTGGCTCCTGGAAGCCTTTCAAGTAGCATCCCACATGTCTTGGTTCCATAAAGGGACCAGCCCAGCTTAGTACACGGCTGCACCCCACTGCTCCGCAGCTACTTAGATCGCATGCAACTTTATTTACAAAAAAGGCAAGTGAGCCAGGTAATGGTGCCAGGTATCTAAGACATGCTCTTCATTCCCTTCAGGTATGGGACTTGACAGTCTTTTCAGATGGCTGCTGGTTCAGTTCCACTTGGAAATGAATTTTCAACCTGTAGACATCTGCAGAACATCACCATTCTTTAAGGGAAAAAGAAGGAAAAGGAGGCAAGCCCAGAACTGGTCCCACTGCTGAGATATGGCAAAATGCAACAAAAGCACCTGAGGACAAAAAAGCTGAATAGAACCTCTCTGATGGTTTCATGGAAAGCAATTATTCACATTTCTGCAAGAGGTAACACCAGAGAATGTGGAAGCAGTACAGTAGGTCATGGCTGGAAATAAAAGGTTTTGGAGCCTCCTGTTATTCTGCAGGGCAGTTTATGCTAACATGCAGGGGTCACAGCAGCAGGGCATGTCAGGCAAAGATAGAAGTTCTCTCCAGACATAAACACTGCGAGGCTAAAAGTATTGCTCACCCTGTGACTGCACATGGTAATGCAGTCGTGCCACTCCGAAGTTTGAGAAGGACCAAGGAACCTACAAATAATGATAAAGAGCATCTATTTAAATTCCTGCTCGCTCCCAGCATTGAGCCATGAAGACAGACATGCAAGGAATGGCTTTTAGCGTACTTTGAAAGATGCGACATGCAGGATATGTCCTTGGAAAGAGACTCAGTGCAAGGGTAGCAGATCTAAAAGGACATGGAAGAGCTTCTTCGGCTGCAGAAGTCATACACCGCACATCAGCTGTCCAGCTATTGAGGATACCACATGCTAGGTCCACCCTACTAGCACCCTGCTGCAAGTCCTTCCCCAGCACTGATGCCCACTCCTAGAAGATGAAAAAAAAGAACACTTCCAAGTACATCAGCTAGAGGATTTGGGGAGCATTCCCAGTTTATATAAGGAGGGTGAAAATGATTCCTTGCCAACTTTTGCGGCACTGTGTTGCTGTTTTCTTGTTTTCCTCTGCATGACAAATGTCCAGTGCTTATGACCCTTTTCCAAATTATCAAGCTAATAACCAAAAATGCTATAATGGCTCTGTAAACAGATTAAATTGATTACAGATGAATACGGTGAAATAAAAACAGGGAGACACATTTCTGTTTCATACTGAATTGGCATTCAGCCCAGGCTACTTGGCATCATTTCAGGCTTGACCTGTGTGTGTTGCCTATGAGCCCTTCATAGCACTGAGGCCGTGCTGGTGGGATGCTGCTTCCCCCTGTAGCTGCTGGCTGGCTCATAGGGTCACCCTATTTGCAGTTAACACAACTTGCCCCCCAGCACAGCACAGCAGGCTCCATGTCGGGCAGAGCTCCGTGGCTGGCTCCCGAGCTCTCCCAGCAGCCATCCCACACCAGTTCATCGTGCACCGAGGCAGTGGAGAGGGATCCTACACAGGTCACATCTCGACGCCACAGGACAGAAAGATGCTCCAGCAGATGGGCAAAAAGCCCAGAAACTACAGTACATCTCCATCTACCTGCCAAATGACAAGATTGGGTCTCTTAAACAGAAGCAGCTTTTTCACACAACACAAACACTGGGATGGACTGCCACAGGGTGTGGTGGGAGTCAACTGGTTCGAGAAAAGGGGTTAGGAAGCTTTACAGAGAAGTGCTGCAAAAGCTGTAACAAAGGTCTAAGTGCTCAGGAAGTTTCTAGCCTGCTGCTTACCGGGTGCTGGGAGGGCTCTGAATGGGCCGGACCTCTGGTACAGCTTTCCCAAGCAGCGTCCACCAGGCTGTGACCCTGGAGACGCGGCTGGGGGCGTCTCATCTAGTACAGGAGCACGTATGGTGAGAATTAGTTGTCCACAGGTAAGGTAGAGCCTTGAGTAGCACGGTGAAAGGGTCCTGCTGATTGAAGTCCGTTATCTCAGCTCCGTATCCACAGGAATCAGAGTCACTCTGCTGAAGGCAATGGCTGTCCTATGCTTTTCAAGAGACCAGAAAGCTCCTGCTGGCATTCTCTGTAATTGAGTGCTCCTACCACTCTGTTGGCACCAACACAAAAATTACAGCATGTGCGC